TCTCTCTCTCTTCTCTCTCTCTCCCTCTCTCTCTCTTCCATCCCCTTTTGCCCACAACAGCTTCTCCACCCTCTATCACCGACATTCAAAATTTCCCCCAACCTCCCTATCACCCACCCGTAACTCCAACTTCCACCCCCCCCATTACCACCCTTACCCTCTCACCCAACACCTACTTCACACCTCCAACTCACATCACCCACCCCACAACACACCACACCCCCACCCCCACGCCTCCATCACTCCACCCCCACAACCCTCCCCTTTCCTTCTCCATCGTACAGTGTATCAATGTGATGTTTCAAACCTCCCTCCACCCCCACAACCCACCCCACCCCCACATCCTCATTCACCCCCCATCCTACCCCCACAACCCTCCCAACCCCCTTCCTTCCTTTATCGTACAGTGTGTCAATGTGATGTTCAACCTCCACCCCACAACCCCCCCACACCCTCACCCCACCCCACATCCTCATTCACCCCCATCCCTACCCCACCACACCCCTCCCCCCCTTCCTTCCTCCATCGTACAAGTGTATCAATGTGATGTTCAACTCCACCACCCAAACCCCCACCATCCCACCCCCACATCCTCATTCCCCCCATCCTACCACAACACCTCCAACCCCCCTTCCTTCCTCCATCGTACAAGTGTATCAATGTGATGTTCAACTCCACCCCACAACCCCCACCCGCAACCCCCACCCCCACATCCTCTCTCCCCCATCCCTACCCCACACACCCCTTCCTTCCTCCATCGTACAAGTGTGTCAATGTGATGTTCAACCTCCACCCCCACAACCCCCACACCCCCACCCCACCCCTCACCCCACCCCCACATCCTCCTCACCCCCCCATCCCTACCCCCCTTCCTTCCTCCATCCTACAAGTGTGTCAATGTGATGTTAAGAGTTCATCACACTCGCCATCATCATCATCATCCTTCGCTACGCTTCAGGGAATAGGATGAGACTCCGTTTTCCTGCATTCTTTCATTCTTCTTCTTATATTCTTTCGGGAGTGTGCTTGTCGTTTTTTTTTTTGTTTTTTTTTTTTTTTTTTTTTTGTGTGTGTGTGTGTGTGTGTGTGTGTGTGTGTGTGTGTGTGTGTGTGTGTGTGTGTGTGTGTGTGTGTGTGGTGTGGTGTGTGTGTTCGTTTTCTCTCTTTCTGTTTGTCTGTCTATATTTCTCCCTTTCTATGTCTCGGTCTCTCTTTCTCCTCCTCCTCTTTCCATCCACTCTTTCTTCATCCCACCCTTTTCTATCTCTCCTCTCTCCCTCCCCTTCTCTCCGTTCCTCCTTCCGTCTTCCCTCCTTTCCTCCTCACTCCCTCCTTTCTCACTATCTACTCTCTCTCTTTCCTTCCCTCCTTCCTCTCTTCATCCCTCCCTCCTCTCCTACTCCTCCCTCCCCTCCCTTCCCTCTTTCTCGCTATCTACCTCCTCTTCCTCTTTATTCCGTTTCCTTCCTTCTCTCTTCCATCCTCCTTCCTCCCTCCTCCTCCCTTCCCCATCTCTCTTCCCATCTTCCCTCCCTCCTCCTTCCCTCATCTTCTTCCCTCCCTTTCCCTCATTCTCCTCCCTTCCCTCCATTCTCCCCTCTCCCTTTCTCACTATCTACCTCCTCTTTCATCTACCGTCCCGCCTCCCCCTCCGTCTCCTCTCGCACTAATTGTCACCTGGAGACACCTGTCGTCAGAGCAACAGGTGTGCTGTGCCTTCGCTCGGGTTGATGTACAGGTGTGGGAGAGAGAGCGGATTTTTTTTTTTTTTTGGGGGGGGGGGGGGGCTGGTTAGCTATTTTTTTTTTTTTCTTTTGTCTTATATTTTGTTGGTTGCGTCTCTTTGTATTTTTTCTTTTTACTTTATTATTATTGGTTTGGATCTTTCTTTTCATTTTTCTTTTATTTCTTTTTTCTCTCTTTTTTATTTGTTGTTGTTATGTATTTTTCTTTATTTATTGTTATGGGAGCGGAGAAGGAGAGGGGGCAGAGAGAGGGAGGAAGGGGAGGAAGTGGGGGAGAGGGATAGAGAGGGAGAAGGAGGGAGGAAGGAGGGGCAGAGAGATAAGAGTAGAAATAGGGAGCGAGGAAGGAAGGAGGAGGAGGAAAGGGAAGAAGAGAAGGAGAGAGGAAAGGGAGAACTGACAGAGGACAGGGGAGAAAAGAGAGGGAGAGAGGGAGAGAGAGAGAAACAGAAGAATAGAGAATAATAATGGAGAGGAAGAGAGATAGAGAGGAAGGATAATAGGGAGAAAAGTATAAAGAGAGAGGGAGACTAAAGATATGGGGAGTGGAGGGGGGGGGGNATTAATGTATCACATTTATTGATGAAAATAAATAATCGCTGACATAAAATGTATTAGGCGTAGGCTGGGGTTGGCTTGTAGGCAGGGGCAGGTTAGGCGCAGGAGCAGGCTTGTAGGCAGGGGCAGGTTCGTAAGCGGGAGCAGGCTTGTAAGCAGGAAGCAGGAGCAGGCTTGTAGGTAGGCAGGTTCGTAAGCGGGAGTAGGCTTGTGTAGGCAGGGGCAGGCTTGTAGGTAGGAGCAGGTTTGTACTCGGAGTGCTGGGCCTCACCCTCGTAGCTGACCTCAGCCACGTAGCCAGAGTCGCCGTTAACAGTGTAGGTCACCTTCTGCAGACGACCGTCGGGAAGGAGGACGTAGTAGGAACCTTGGGTGTTGTACCCATCACGAGCTTCCTGGTGGCCGAAGTCGTTGCCGGAGTAGTCGTCCTTTACAGCATAGTTGAAGTCGTACTTGGCAGGTTCCTAAAGAAAATTCTGAATTAGATGTACATATCATAAACGAATTCCCCCAAGTTTAGCTGTACAAATGAACAAACTGAAACATCTGCTTATTATTACGAACTGAAACTAACCTCATATGTGGGTTCCGGGGTATAGCCATACGTGGGCTGTGAGGGAGTAGCTACAGCGACAGCCACAAGGGCCAACACGACGGCGGTCTAGAAAAGAAAATTAATGTTAATTTAAATGATTCAGATAATATGCAAATACAAATCCTGAATCCAATCATACGTTATTTGATACCAATATTTTTGTCCAGTAGTTCTAGGTCACAATCACCTTTGAGATCATTGTGAGAAGTCAGAACGTATATGATAATACAGCTGCTGTGTCTGAGCTTTATATAGTTGCCAACATATGGGTGGGGCCGTGATTGGACGACAGAGAAAGGGAATCTATGGTCACACTGGTGACCTTGATCTTGAACCTAAACTGAAAGGAAAAAATAAGTGGCTCATATAGATCAGTGGCCACACTGTCAGTATTTTTCCTTGGAATGTAAAAATAATGATAACTGATCATACACAGAGAAGAATATTCTGAAATGTACTGTAACCATCATTATTCCTTATCGGCATTGCTTGCATTGTCATCATTATTACTATTATTGTTTTATTTCCTCATACCATACACATGTATATACAGAATAGGGATGATCGAGCCTTTGACTTAGAAATGAACACCGTACTTTTATTATAGAAACTTATATGCACTTGAAAGTAGACCATTAAGTTCTCCACAAACTAACCCTAACCGTGTTCCTTCCTTGAGACGATCATAAGACGCTTCATGTGTTTATAGAAAAGATATTGGCAAGGTGATAAGTTGTCTTCTACGAGACTACCTTCCGAAGGTGAAGATCCCCTAGATAGCTTAACTTTGGATCGTTTTCTAAGATGGAGAGAAATGCGGCGAAATAACTCATGATGAACGCAAATGAGTCTTTCGAGAAAGATTTCCAGCAGCCGGAGGATCAGTCTATATATATATATATATATATATATATATATATATATATATATATATATATATATATATATATATATATATATATATATATATATATATATATATTATATATATATATATATAATATAAAAAATTAATGATATATAGAGTTGACTTTTTCGATGTTTAAAATTCACTTTTTTTAGGTGCAGTAGGTGTTATGAAAATAGTAATAATAATAATAATTTGATTTTACCTGTTTGATTTTTTTTCTTTTTTTTTAATCATTTTCCTACTTTTTCAAGGCGAGCTGCTCTTCGTCGGAATCGATCTATGGGTCAGTTGAAAATTTCACATCATACCGAATGGAATGTAAACGTACCACATAAAGGAATTGAATATAGAAGGGGGTAATGTGAAAATGTGTTTGATAATGCATATTCATACAGATAGCATACCTTGATAAAAGTTTTCGGAAGAGAGCTGCATGCATACATACATACATACAACATATTTATATATATATATATATATATATATATATATATATATATATATATATATATATATATATATATATATATATATATATATATATATATATATGTAAGTATATGTATTTACATATAATTGTATATATATATATATATATATATATATATATATAATATATATATATATATATATATATATATATATATATATATATATATATATATATATATAACATTTCATGCAGGTTTTTGTTTGAGTAGATATAACAACGAAGGGGATAAAATGGGATATATCGAACCCCGAAATCATGTGTTTTCTTGTTCTTCCTTTATTGTTTTATTGAGTTCATTCAGTATAACTCCTTTTTACATGTGTGTGTGGAGGAGAGAGCAAGTGGGTGGGAGGGGGGGGGGGGGCATGAGCTCTTCGTTGGTACTGAATATAAAGGCTGTGAGAGAGGTTATGAAGGCGATGGAATGTTAATGTATCACATTTATTGATGAAAATAAATAATCGCTGACATAAATGTATTAGGCGTAGGCTGGGGTTGGCTTGTAGGCAGGGCAGGTTCGTAAGCAGAAGCAGGCTTGTAGGCAGGAGCAGGCTTGTAGGCAGGGGCAGGTTCGTAAGCGGAGCAGGCTTGTAAGCAGGGCATGTAGGCAGGGCAGGTTCGTAAGCGGAGCAGGCTTGTAGGCTTGTAGCAGGGCAGGTTCGTAAGCGGGAGCGGCTTGTAGGTAGGAGCAGGCTTGTTTCAGCAGCAGGCTTGTAAGCAGGGTA